AACACCAGTGATCTTTTCAGAGATCTTTTCTGTCCTATGAGTGAGAGAAGGCAGCAGACACCAGAGATGAGCCACTGACTGTGTCACTTGAGGGTTGGGGCCGCATTCCAGCAGAGAGTTAGTCGTCCAAACAGGATGGTCTGCACTGCACAGGGAGGCAGAGAGGGGCGTAATTTTCTTGGAGGGAAAATGGCAGAAGCAGGGAGGCCAATACGATACACACAAACTTGGTGTGTCAGGAACAAATCAGACTGTGAAGAGAAGAGATGATTCAGTTGCTTCTATACCCATGCCAGGAGTCTAGGTAATAAGCAAAAGGAACTGGAAACTCTTACTGAGGAGAAGGAATTTGGTGCAACTAGCATTACTAGATCTGGCAGGATGTTAACTGCACTGTTCTCAAAGGCTGAGGGCTGCCCACTGTTAAGAAGGACAGAGTGGGTGGAAGAGACCAGAGATGGCACTATATTAAAGGCACCACTCCCCTGTGACAGTATTATCACTAAGTCAGGACACCAGGGTCATGAATGCAGATGTACTGATGTGAAAGCTAGCAACATCCAGGCTACACCCAAAGAACAGACTGAGATACCCCCTCCAACATGGTGTTACTGGATGCATTTTTCAACCTGGAAGCCAATACTAAAGGGGACATGCTGGCAGTAAAATATCATTTGAATTTCTAAAAATCAGAGGTGAATATTCCCTTACATAAGAAGGTCTGTATGCCAGCCAAAAGCAAACCGATGGCATGAGCAGAAGCTGGTGGTTGTCTAGGAACCATGGCCTAGTTACACACACTTTGGGCCAAGAGAGAAGGGTCCTAGCCAGTGACACCTCTACCTGGGACTCCAGAAGGGCTAATTTCCCAAACCTAGGGAAAATTACAAGCAAACTTGACTGTGAGGAAAAGCTTAGATGGAAAATGTTAAAGAAAATGGCATGTTCTTTAGAAGAGCTTGTTAGCTGGCCAAAAAGCCACAATTCACAATCAAGAAAAAAAAAGGGACAGCATTGGCTAGAAACCTATTCTACTAGTTCAAATGCAAAGCAAATGCAACAATTAGAAACAAAAAAGGAACATACAGCTAATGGGAAAAGGTGGAAATACAGAACTATTAATATAAATTAGACCTCATATAAATAAAAATACATTGTTAGGGAAATAAAGACACCAGGTGATATCCCTAAAGACAATACCATGGTGTTTTTAAGGAATGCTATAAACAGAAGAAATGCTAGCGATGGTAGAGCCCCATTATAAGATGGAGATGACAACATGGTTACTAACAGTGAAAGAACAGCAAAAGAGTTGAATAAACATTTCTGGTCTGGGCTTAGAAATGCAGCAGGATGATGTACTCATACCACAAAGTACTACTCAGGCTCTTTCTAACCAAGGAGACTGTTAAACATCAGCTACTAGGATAAATATTTTTAAATCTACAGGCCTGAATAATTTGCCTTACTAAAAGAGCTGCCTGAAAAGGGACTGGAAGAGTACTGATGTTGTCCCATATTCAGAAAGGGTAAGAGGAAGGGACCAGGCAACTATAGACCATACTTAGCCTGGCATCAGGCCTGGGTAAAATAATGGAAAAGTTGATACGGGATCCAGTGGTTCCAGACTGAAAGGAGGAGAATGTAATTTGAGCCAGTTAACCTGGTTTTGGCAAAAAAAGGTCTTCTCATGCTAACCCTGGCTGGGGAGAAGGGGTCTTGTCATGCTAACCCTAGTTCTGGTCTCTGAACTGATGACAAGTTTGGTTGATAAAAGGTAACAGCATAACATGTGGGCCTGAATCCAGCCCCCACCCCTTTTGGTAGCCAAGTGTTTTACGAAGGGATTGTTAGACCTTACTCCCACCTACACCTCTTGACTTGACTTCTGAGCATGCACAGAAGGGATCCTCTATGCCAGTTATGCCATTGTGTGCACTGGGGGCAGAAGCAGAGGCCAAAACCCTGGGCACTTTCTTTCCAGGGCATTGCCCATTTCACTGAGCTGCAATGCCTCCTCCAGCTTGCTCTCCTTCTGACCCTATGTATGGCTGTCCAGGGTGCCACATTCAACAAGAGGGGTGAAGGGCACTCTTGGTCCTGCCCAGCCCATGGCCTGGTGGTTAAGGCACTTTACTGGGCAGTGGGTCCAAGCCCCCTCAGAGTAATGTAGGGCCTAGACAGAAGCTCTCCCAACTCCCTGGGCAAGTGCCATAACAACTGAGCTACTGAGATAAACGGCAGGCAGGAGCACTGCCTCCCCATCCTGGGACTTAGAGAATTATGGGCTCTCCCAGGCCAGACAGGAGTCACAGACCATATGTGGCTGTAGACCAGGGGGGCTAACTCACAACACACGTGCCACAAGTAACACAGCAGCTGTGAAGCATGCAAGTCCCTGATGCTCTGTAAAGGGAGGTGCCAGAAAGGAGACAGTGCTAGGTGGAGCAGAGTGGGCAGGACACTGCAGGAGGAGGTGCAAGCCAATACTGTCAAGAGCCAGGCGAACCCTACCCTGGCCCTGAAGCTCTGGCTGAATTCTGAGTTTTGGACCCTCACTTGCTAGCCATATAAGACTGCAGCAGCTGTGGGGCCAGGGAAAGGTTAACCTAGCTCTTCTCAGTGACATCTCCTCTCACAGCAGTGTCTTGCCACTGCTCAACTTTGTGCTGCCTTGGCCAAAGCCTTGAGCCCTCACCTCCATTCTGGAGCCCCACGGCACACACTACTGAGTACCCCACCAGGAGGAGGGGATCAGAGCAGCACTCCAGGGTGCGGGTGGGCCTTAACTTGTGGCATGCCTGCCAAAAAGGTTGGCTACTACTGCCACAGAAGATCCCATTCTGAACATGGTCAGAAGGATAAGCTGAGCTGCAAGAAGACATGGCACATAAAAGTCTCCTCACAGATTAATTCACCACCTGTGGGGGCAGCTGCACTTGGCCTCTAGACTTCTGCCAGGCATTGGACTAAGCATCGCAAGGCAATCCAATTACAGAATGAACCCTGTACAGCAACAACAACAGAGATCTCATTCAACTGGTTGACAGACCTCAAAAAGTAGCCAAAGAGCAATCAAACAGGGGTGTTTGTAATGAGGTTCTACAAAAATCAATGCTCTTTTTGGTATTTCCATCAACTATCTGGAAACAAATGTAAAATCAGTAGGTAACACATGGCTCAGGAGAGTCGTAAATACCCAGCAGGACAGGACAGTTCTACATGGCAATCAGGAGCACAGTGACTGGGGCCTGCTCTCACGCAATGCTTTTTAATACCACCCAAATTCTACACCTTGAAACAAGTACCACAGGTCACACCTGTTCAATGGGATTACTTCCTGGCACACAGCAACAGTTGAGAAGGAGTTAGGGTCCCAGAGGACAGCCAGAGCATCCTGCCCACACAATAATGTGCTGTGGCTAAAGGGCAAACACCACCTGTAGAGGTATTCACATGGCAGTGATGAATGGGGGCAGGGAGTAATTTTACCTCCAGATACAGCACTGGGGAGCCTGATGCAGGGCCTCTGAGTCCAGCCCCGTGGTCTGCATTTTAGAAGAGGATGTAGAAAAATTGGAGGAGGTGCCGAGAAGAGCCACAGAAATTATTCAAGGGCTGAGGAGACTCCTGACAGCAAGATACCGATGGAGCCCAGCCTGCCCGGCTCATCACTAAGGGCAGGGAGAAGACTTGACTGTGGGGTATGAAGGCTTCCCTGGGGAGGAAATGGCAGGTTCCAGAGGGCTCTTAAGCCTGACTGAGAAGGGAAGATAGGAACCAGTAGCCAAGACCTGAAGCCAGACAGACTAAGAAGTTAGGTATACAGTGAGAATAAGGAGAAACTCCATCTCTCTGCGCCTTCAAATCCTAACTAGAAGCCTCTATAAGCTGCTGTTGCCAAACATAATCCCAAGGTATTGGGTTCAAGGCAGGGTCAACTCAGTGAAAAAAGAACAACCTATGACAAGATAGGAGGTCAGACAGGACAATGTAATGGTCCCTGCTGGCTTTAAAGTTCATGCTTCTCTCAGCTTCTTGCCATCGCCTAAAGCACTCAACCTCCCTCCTTCTCCTCCCGGCCAGGCCAGAAGCCTTTCCCTCTTCCAGGGGGCCCCAAGGCAGATGCCTGTGATGCCACACTCCCTTTGAAACACATCTCGTCCACTCATCATCACCACTACATGGCTGGGAAGGATGGCAGGTGCTACAATGCCCGGGTACATGCAGCATGCACACATGTACATACCAGCCCCTAGGGGCACAGCTTTGAATCATGCAAGTGTGTGTATGTGCCAGAGCTTGTCCCCACACATAGGCACATCTCTGGGTGCATGGGCTGAATGTACAAATATCCAGTGTCACCATGTGTACAGGCAGGCTTGACTGTGGTGCTGTTTGTGTCATGGTGTTTCTCTGAAGGTTAGATTGCTGGGCTGTTATTGCATCTGTGTGTGTGTGTGTGTGTGTGTGTGTTCCTGGGCATCTGACTGTGTTGCATCAAATTGTGTCAGGATATGCCCAAGGCATGAGCTGTGTAACTGTGGGCAGTGCTAGGGGCTGGCTGACCCTGAGGTGCTGCCAGCTGTATCTGCAGGAGGCACAGCATGACATGATTGCTCAAGCTCAGCTCCAGGTGTCAGCTAGAACTGCCCTAAAAACTGCCCTAGAACTGGGCTAGGGGCAGGGCTAGAGGATGGTGGCCAGCACAAGGAGGGCAGCATAGCCTCCCCTCCCCACCCAGTCTGGAGCCTTAAGTCCTAGGCATACTGCCAGCCAGCACAGGAGGATGCACAGAATCTGGGAAACAGCAGGCAGGCTCACTGTCATCCAAGTCCAGCTGGGCAAAAGGCAGTCAGACCTCTGACTGACCCCCAGCCTCTGTGCCTGGCACTGTCAATGGGTCAAAAGTAAGGGGAAGGCTGGACTGGGCTTCCTCTCTGCATGGTTGCCCAGTTCAGCCGACACTACCCTGTTCAGTGCCTGGCAGGCGCACTCACTTCAGGGAGAGGGAGAAGTCGTCCTTGCTGGTCTCACTGTTGCGCACCAGGTAGCTGGCCTCCTTGCACAACCTCAGCAGGGTCTCGGCGTCCGTCCGGCTGATCGCCCCATGGTACCAGCTGTGGTGCGAGAGAGTCACCAGCTCAGGGGCACAGCAAGGACACACAGCACTGTCCTGTGAATGCTGCTTAAGGAAGAAGCTGGGGAAGATGAGGAGGGGGCGGCCCCATACCAGTGGACCAAAGGGAGACAGCTACAGGCAATGAGGGCAATTTGCTGCAGGCTACCATGGTTTGCTTCCTGGACCTTGTGGCAGCAAGATCAGTGAGGCAACTCCTGGTGGTCCCTCAAGTATACCAGCACCTGGCCCTATCTGTGCCAGGTGCCAGATCTTCTAACAGCTCACAGGTTAGGAGATTTGGTGGGGCAGGGCTCTGGGAAAGGCTGTGGAGGGCTGTGGGGAGGGAGCCAAAGCTCCAGAAAAGGTGGCACAAAGCAGGAGAGGGAAGAGCAGCTGGGAGCCCTGCTTTCTGGTCTCAGGGGGAACAAGTGAAGGACATGTCAGGGGCTGGGGCACTACTGGGGAAGGGAGGAGCAATGGGAGCCCTGGGAAGCATGAAGCGGAAAGGGCTGGGATGGGGACAAAGGATGGACAGTGCAACATGGAGGAGCAGAACAGACGGGCAGTGGCACATGGGGCAGGAACAGGCCCTATTAGGTGTTTCCTGTACTTGCTCCTGATCCATCAGGCAGCAGAGCACAGGGAACAGTGCATGTGATCCCTGGGCTGCTTCAGACAGGGCTGTGTGGGACCTTGCATGCCTAGGGAGCTGAGGGCTGCCAGGGGCAGGGTGGGGTACTCACCACTGGCTCTCAAGCGGCAGGGCTGGGTCAATTCTCTCCCCAATGACCAGGCCAGGCTCAGCATTTGGCACCTTGGCAGCCTTGAGATGGCTGCTCCCATGCCGGTGGGAGGCCCTGGCCTTCTCCTCCCTGCAGGGTGATGTGCGGCTGCGGCCTGGCCCCTCACACTGTCCTACAAGACAGACACAGTGTCAAAAGGTGGCAGAGTGCCCGATGCCCCAATGGTGGATGGTGCCCAGTATCCCAATGGTGCACCACTGCCCGCATCCCTGCAAGGGGGCAGGGAGGACCAGTGAGCTGAGCCTGCCGCCTCGTGAGACCCTGAGCCACACTCACTGTCTACTGAATGAATGAATGAGCCTCCCAGTGCCTGCAAGCCCAGGCATCTGTGGGGAAGGGGTGAGGGGACTGACTTGGGGTATCTGGGTACTCTCCTCCAGGATTTTGCCCTGGGGTCCCCCCCCAACTACCTACCACAGGCTAAATTACCATGGTTTCATCTACAAACACATAGGAGCCACACACCTTTGGTCCAGGTGGCTTCAGCTCCCAGGAACACCTGGTGATGCCCTACAGGCAGATGCCCTGTGCCAGGTTTGTAGAGGCCCAGGATGCCACACAACAGCCAGTGCTGGCTACTGAGGCCCATATGGAGATCATAATCCTAGAGCCACTCCAACCAAGAGACCAGAGAGCCATTACCTCCAGCAGAGGCAGAGATCAAAGGTGAGCTGGCCTGGCAGGGGGCTCTGAGAGGGTCCATGAGCCTGAAACTCACTTTGTCCCCAACCTTGGCCAACCAGCCCCTTCTCCTCAGATGTGAGAGAAGGGGTAAGGGTGGTCACATGAAGACAGGAAGCTCCAGGGGGTGGGATGGGGGGTGCACTGCAGGAGAAGGGGGGTCTTTGGGTTGGTGCATGGCTGCCTGTTTTGGACCAGGCTCATGCCCTGCATGGCAGTCACATGCAGGGTATCACCAACATGCAACATCTTCCTGGCAGGGAAGGGGTCACTCAGTCCCACAGCATACTGGGTCACAGGCAGCCCCTGGGGGAATCCACCCACTGAACTGGGCCCTCAATGCCCTCTGGTGAGGCCCACACAGCATCAGGCTTTCTACAAAACCAGCTTCCTGGAGTGTTCAGGACAATTCTCTCCTAGAGAAAGCACCGTCAGGGCCCTGGATACCAGCCAGGCTGGGCTCTGACACCCTAGCCCAGGTGCCCATGAGAGAGCCATGTGGCTGATCCTGTAGATCTGGGGTTATGCTCATCTTACCCTAGGACCAGTGGTGATGGTTCAACCCAACTGGTTCATCCCAGATCCTCTACCCCTGCCCCAGCCTTGGCATGAGCCACCCGTATAGGGTTGTGCCTACATCTGAGGAGCTGGGAAACAGCCACATCCTCATATGAAGGCAACTGGAGCCTCTGGGTGGGACTGGCAGTGAGGCAGCTCCTACTTGGCCCCAGGGCAAGGGCTCATCCCAGCCAGAGGCCCCAACAGGCAACCAACTGTAGGGTACTGGGCTCAAGCCTCACAGCCTCAGCTGGTTTGGCTTGAAGTCTGTGAGCATCCCCATGCGGACAAGACTTTGCTGAGCTCTACACAGCCAAGCCAGAGTGCAGGAGGACCCAGCGCTGACTGTGGGCTGGCGCTGCTCCACACCACAAACCAGGCATGGCCCCAGGCTCTGTAGCCCTGTCCCATCCTGGAATGGGCACTGGCTTCCTGCTTGGGATGCGCTCTCCTGACAGCTCCCCCCCCACCCCCAGATCTTGCCACCCCCACACTTGGCCCCGGCACATACCCCACCATTCCCTCCATCCCCACCACACGCAGCCCTCAGCAGAGTTCCTTTGAGGTTTCACTCATTCCCTCATGAACAGCTCCCTCCTGCCAGTACTCACCTGTCAGCTCCCCCATGGATACTCTCCCCCTTCACAGTCCCTTGTTGCTGCAGCCCCCCCCCCCATCACCCCCCCACCGCCCCATCCACATTTCACACCCTTCATATCATATTCCTAGTCACTTCCAGGCTGAAACTCTACTTCACATCCCTCACAGGTCCTTCTGGGCTGTAGAGTAGAGGTTCCCAACCAACAGGCTGCGGCCCAGTACCAAGCCATGAAGGGTTAGCTGCTGGGTCATGGCAACTCGGACCCCCGTCTGTCTGCCTGGGCGAGTGGCTTCTGCCACCAGCAGTCTTGTGTGGGGTTAAAGCTGGGTGGTGGGGCAGCCCTGGGAGGGAGGCAGCTGGCTCCTTGTGCCCTGTCCCACTCCCACCAGTCCACAGTATAGAAAAGGTTGGGAACCACTGCTGTAGAGTACACACGTCACAGCACACTCCCTTCCACCTGCACACACCTCCACCTCTCCCTCTGGTCATTGTCCCACTCCTGCCTGCTGTACCCAAGTCCACATGATGCCAACTGGTTATTAACCTGTGATGAGAAAGTGATATGCCCCCAGCTCCATCTCTGTGTTTCCCTTGGCCATGACATCCATGCCTTAATGCGGTTGGCTGCCATCCACAGTCCCTCCAGGAGTCAGAAAAAGTCACAGGCCCAGCCACAAAGGCTGATCTAGGAATTTTAGTGCTCTGGGCAGAAACCCTGGAGAGCGAGATGGGGGAAGAGGGTAGGGAATGCTGACCATTGGAAAGTCTAACCCTCCCCACACACAGGCAGCTGCTGCCTTGGCATGTGCTCCCTGGGGGCTGCCCTTCTGGTACTCAATGCTGGTGCCCCACTCACCCACCCCTAGTTGCGCTACTGCTCAGCCAAGTGTGACACCTCCTCAGGCTATTGTAGCTCAAGCCCACCAGTTTCCATAGTCTGTGGCATAGAAGGCAGCAACATGCTTGGCATTACATTTGGCTGCCTTTAATTCCCCAGATGCTCATGTGCAGCTGGGTTAGCTGAGGGCAGCCTTCAACGTAAGTCTGGAGCAGGGCTTGAACTCTGAGTGAAAGGTCTTTACTGCTCTGTCTCCATCTCCATCTCCTGCCTGCAGTTGGATCATTCTTTTCTCTGGCATTGACAAATAACTTCTATTCATCTGCCCAGAGCATTGCTGCAAAAATCATTTCCCTAGCCCACTGCACTGCCCTGAGCCTCTTCTCTGCTACATCACAGCCAAGCTCATCTTCTCTCTCCAGGTCCTCCACCACCTTATCCTCTCCCCTGCATTCCCAAGACACTGGCTCTCCCCTATGATTGGCCCCTATTGCCCATGCTTTTCTTTGTGCCTCTGCTGTGCTGCTGCTCACTCTCAAGGGAAGCACCCCCAAAACACTTGCAAAGCCACTTCCTTGCTCTCCTTTGATTTCCTCCTTAAAACTCTCCCTTGCTGTGAGGTTTATAAATAGCCTGACAGCTGGTGCACTGAGACCACTGCCTTTCGCACCAGCAATACCTTCTCATCCCTTCCTACAGCTCCCTCATCTACCTGTCTGCACCCAAAGCAATACATCACGGATGAGAGAGGGGGAAATCAATAGAAATTAGAAGTTATGAAGTGCAATAATTGGTCAGGAGAGCTGAAGACATTGGGGAAAGAAAAAAATCCATGTTTGCCAGGGCTAAGGACAATACCAAGGAATCTTTAGGGTATCTTAAATCCTAACAACGGCAAATGTCCAATGCTACATGGAGGTGATGAAGTTGGTAATAAAGACACAGAAAAAATGGCAGTAAACATTATTGGGTTGTAATAGGAAAGAAGCAGGACAATGTGCTCATACCACATAAGGATGGCAAACTACTTTCCAGTCTGTTAGTATCCAAGGAGGATGTTAAAAAATTCTACTGGGATAAACCTCTTTTTGAAATCCCCAAGGATGGATAACTTGGCACCCAAGATTTCATAGACATTTGGGCTAGAAGGGACCCCGGAGGATCATCGAGTCCAGTCCCCTGCTCCAGGGGCAGGAAGTCAGCAGGGATCATAGGATCCCAGCAGGAATCATAGGATCCCAGCAAGATAAACATCCAAGCGCGTCTTGAAGGTGTTCAAAGTGGGTGCTTGAATCATCTCTGGCGGCAGTCTATTCCAAACCTTAGGACAGTAAAGAAGTTCTTCCTTATGTCCAGCCTGTCCACAATTTAGGAAGTATGTGGAAAAGCTTGAAAGAGTCAGAGGAGAGCCACACACATGATCAGAGGGCAAAAGAACAGGCCTTATGAAGAGAGGCTGCGAGCTACGAGACTCCTCAGCCTGCAGAAGTGCAGGCTCAGGGGTGACTTGGTGGCAGCCTTTAAGTACATAAGGGGTGTGCATCAGGCTCTGGGGGAGCTCCTGTTCACCAGAGCGCCCCAGAGGATGACAAGGTCCAACAGTCACAAACTCCTGCAAGACCATTTTAGGCTGGACATGAGGAAAAACTTCTTTACTGTCCAAGCCCACAAGGCCTGGAACAGACTCCCCTCCAGAGGTGGTGCAAGCACATACTCTGGACACTTTCAAGAAACATCTGGATGTTTATCTTGCTGGGATCCTTTGATCTTAGCTTGGGCAGGGGGCTGGACCCGATGATCTTACGAGGTCCCTTCCAGCCCTAATGTCTATGAAATCCATGCCATCAACCCCAGGCTGGCACATTTGGAGAGAGGTAGGTGGGGCCAAGTGCCAGTTTGTACCAAAACAAGGCACCCCTGCTAGAGGACACGGCTTATAAGGCTTCATGTAATGTCCTGGAGAACACAGCACCTCCTGCCCCACAGCCAGGACACCATGCTCATGGGACCTCTGTGATCAAGGCCCACACATCCCAGCCCTGCCTTTCAAGCCTAACCTTAACCATGATCACAGACTGGGACCCTTGTTCCCACTACCCATCAGCTTCCCCTCTGCCTCCTCTACCCCCAAGTGCTTGGAGAGCCTTGCAGAGCCAGGGTGGCCCCAGGGACAGCTTCCTGCCTGTGCTGCAAACAACCCTGCAGGCGTGTGAGAGAGGCAGGGAGCGAGCAGAGAGGTGCCCCAGGGACCTGGCTCTTATACACTGTTATTTCCTCTCAGGATGATTTCAGCATTAATAATATTGTTTTGCGCTCCTCCAGAGAGTTCATTATCGTTCCCCTGCAGCACAGGCCCCTGAACAAATTACTTATCGATCACACAGCCCTGATGAGACTCTCCTTTGTGCCGCCCTGACATGCCAATCCCCACAGCCCTTCACAGCACTGGGGAGCACAGCAGTGACCAGGCCAATGAAGCCCATCCCCTCCACAGCCCCCTTGCCCAACACAGCTTAGATGGCAGCACCAGAAGACCCCCAACCCCTCCCCTACTGCTGGCCCCAGAAGTTGACCCACAGGAATTATCCTCTCAGGGGGTACTGGAGATGTGCTGCCTATCCACACTGCCCAGCCAGCCAGGATAACTCGGCACCAGCACAGCCCCATGGTCACATTTGTGCTGTCCTAACCCACATCTCCTGCAAAGTTCTTTGGGGACCTCCCACCCAGTGCCCAGCAAAGCTCCCAGAGCAGAGGATTCTGGGAGATTACAACAGGCCAAGAGAGCTGGCTGGGTTTGAGTGGTAGGAGGGTCATGCTGCTGGGCTCTTGGGCATTGCCAGCCCACCAGCTCATGACGCAGCATGGACTGGTGCTGCTAAGAATAGGCCTGGGTGCACACGGCACAAATGGGGGCACTGGGGCACACCAGATGTCAGAGCAGTGTAGCAGTGGTCGTCTGAACAGTGGCAAGGCCATTTCTGGGTCCTAGAGTCCTAGTGCCCCTGGCCCTTTCCTGCCTTAGCAGGTATGCCTGGCACAGCAGTAGGCACTCAAGCTGGGAACTGCTCAGGTTCCCATGTATACCAGGCTGCCACTCAGGCATGTCCATCAGGCATGTCCAGCCTCTGCTTGCAAGCCCCTGCAGCGCATATGTGCACACCACCCACACACTGGGGCTGCCTCTCCCCAGGCCACCAGTGCCTCATCCAGTGTCACCACCCCATGCCCAGGCCAAAGATCATGTCCCCTGGCACTCCTTGCCCTGCTGTCAAAAGTGGGGGGCCAGGCAGGGGCATGCATAACCCAGCTGAGAAGATAGTGTCCTCACTTGTGCTGGCACCCGAGTGACTGACCCTCCAATGCCAGGTGCTGAGCCTTCTGCACACCAAGTCTTTTCCTACACCCTACCCAATACTGCAACCTCCCCTCCTGTTGTCTCTTGCCACCTGTGCCCAGGAGCTGGCAGGCACTACCACCCCACCTCACCATGCATTAGGGCCATGTCCCAGTTCCATGCTGGGAGCTGGAAAAGCAGCTGCTAAGACCCATTTGTGGGCCTGTCACTGCAGCCCTAAAAGCTCCTGTTCCAGGCAGAGGCTGCCTGATGCCCCATCAAGCATGAGGCTGATACGGCCTATGGTGAAGCAGGGCCTCTGCCCAGTAGCATAACACTCACCGTTGGTGTCCTCATGGCTCTGCTGGGATGGGCCATGCTGTGCAGGAGTTAGGGGGCCGGCCTCACCTTCAGGGGGGCTGGCACCGCCGTCCAGCTGTCCCACAGGGGGTGGCCATGGCAGGTCTTTGATCACTTTGATCTCAACTGGATAGAGGCAGCAGAGAGAGAGAGATGGATGGGTTCAGAGAGGCCACTGCTGGTCCTGCAGAGATGGGCAGCAAAGCCACGTAGGGAGAGAGAGGGCTGAGCCCCCATGTGCCCAGCTACACACAGTATGGTGACCCGGGCACCCACATGCTGCCTCCAGTTCCACCCATGCAGGGCTGAGCTGGGCAGGGTTGCACACCCATCCACATGCTGGAACCCACTAGCTGAGCAGCCCTGGACCTGTGAGGCAGCCACAGTGCATGCCTAGCAGGATCCACTTGTCCTGCATAATGCCAGGCACAATGGGATCCTGCGGGGAGTAAGAGGGACCACCAGGCTGGGCTGGTCCCTCATGGTATGTTCCTGGCTCACCTGGCTCTCACCTCTGGCTACCCCACCCAAGAGCCAGCTCAGCTGTAAGCACCAGTTGTGAGAGGGTGCTCCGTGCCCTGCTATCTCCCAGTCCAGGACCAAAGTATCCTGTCCCCTGCCTGTCCAGGGCTCTCCAGCTCCTCAAAGTCAAACCCCTTGGACTTTTCCAGGGCTCTAATGAGTCTCAACAACCCTGATCCCAGCTGGCTGGTGCTTGTTCATGCTGCTTCCAGGCTCCTCTGCCTGGGGCCCTGGCCTCTGTCCAGCTCAGTGCTACCTTCCCACTGGGACACTGCCCCACCCATCATCCCAGGGCACAGCTCTCCACTCTCACTCTGCTGGGGCTCAGCACACACATCACACACACAGTCCAGCACAGCCAAGCATCTGAACCCTACAATACTGTTGGGAGGGTGGGATGGGGACCGGAGTCCTGAGGCCATCCCCCTCCTCCCCCCACATACACATAGCCTGGCTTGGCCAAGCTCCAGCCATTAAGCTGCACTGCAGATAAGAGTGTGGCAATTAGCAAACTCTGCAGGGGGAATGGGCGCTAATGCACAACATGGATTTCCCCATTAATGTACGCCAGAGCCATCGATCCCACTGCAGGGAGATAAATTGGTTGGAGACTCCCACCACCCAGCTGAGGGCAGCAGGGGCCTCCCCGCAGGCCACACTGGGCTGGGGGTTCCCGCAGGGGAACTGCAGGACTTTTGTCCCGGTGCAGTAACCCAGAGCAGCAAAGCAGAAAACATGGCAACCCGAGCAGGGGACCTGTGTGGCCTGCTTAGTTCAGAGCCTGCAGCTCGCTCCCAGGGTCTTCAGTCAAAGCAGGTAGGAGTCTGTCCCCTCACCACTCCAACCACAGATCTAAGGGCTGAAGGGCAACTTCTATAGCAGCTGGCAGGTTTCCTTGCTAGGGCTGGAGTCCTGGGCTGCTGTACAAGTGCCACAAACAGCTGATGCCCTAGCACCACTCCTGTTACACACTACCCCGCCTGTTCTAGCACTCCCCTGCACCCTCAGGGTACCCGCACTGCCCCCATAACATAGCCATTGTAGTACCCCTAACCCTAACCAGCCAAACTGCTGTGTGCCACCGGCACCAACCGGGCCCCCGAGATGCCAAGGAATGTGTCTAGGCAGCCAATAATGATGTGTGCCTGGGTGCCTATGAGGAGCAGCTCCAAAATTGGTATGCAGGAGGCTGGCAGTCCTCACTCACAGCAGCCCTGCACAGGAGGGATTACTGGAGAAGCCCAGGGGAGAGCATTTTAGGAGCACAAAACACTGCAGGCTGATGCCATCTGAGGCTGCTGGGCCTGGCCCAGCCAAAGCAGTGGTGCCCTCCCTGCATCAGGGGACCTGGCCCACCACGCTCACCTGCAAAGGCCTTGGAGATGCGCTCCTTCTTCCACTCCCAGGGCTGGTCATACTCCTCGGGTGGGCGCTCATCATCCTGGGGCAGGCGGGACTCCCTGGGCCGTGGGCAGGCCGAACGCTCACTGTCCACCTCTGGCCCATTGGGCACTGGCTCGTAGGGTGTGTCATACAGATGCAGCGGCCGGGCGGGGGCCTCCTTGGAGCCCTTCTGGCGGATCTCTGCCAAGAGGGGGAAAAGAATAATGCCATGAGCCCATTCCTGAGCTCCCCCTCCCCAAAATAGTGGGCCCAGGACCCCACTGCAGCAGGGTAGGAAGCCCAGGCAGCATGTGGGATGGCCCTTGCTCAGGGGGATCAGAGACATATGCTAAACAAGATGGAGCCCTGGAGCCTTCTAGCACAACAGCACATTATCAGCTCTGGACTTGGGGGTAGGCCCAAACTTGCTAGGACTCACTGAAGTCTCCCAGCCATTGTCCCTCCTGATTCCAGGGGCTGGGGATCCCCACATCTGGCCCCCAACAGGTCATGGCATCCTCACACCCAGCATCTCTGGAGGCTTCTCTGTTTCAGATCGGGAGGAACCATGGCTCCCCTCAGACCCTGCCACAGATGACAAGGATCTCAGGGCATGTCCCAGAGAAGGCCCAGAGTCTTAGGAATGAGTTGCCTGTCCTCTCAGGAACGCCCAGCCCTGCTAGCAAGTGCCAGTGAGTCAGCGGCCAGGCCCAGCTGGGCGCTCAGCCAGACTGAAGCACAGCACAAGCACGGCTTTGTTCTCAGTGCTGCTCCAGGCTGCCAGCCCTTCCCGATCACCAGCTTGCTGCTGGCAGGGAGCAGTGGCTGCCCCCCTGCAAACGCCTCATGATAGCAGTGTTAGTGAGCCAGCATCAATTGGGGATGCGGGCCTCTGAGGCTGTGGGAGCTATAAATCCTGCCCAGCCTACCTGCCTACCCCCCAGAGCCCTGACCCCCAGCCTTCCTGACCAGAGGGAGCAGAGCTGGCTGGGCTGGCCAGAGGAAGCACTAGAGTGGGCAGGAGGCTACCAGACCCCAGGAACCATCCAGCCCCTCAGACGTGCCCACAGAGCAGCAGGGGTGACTGGGATGTCCTGCACTCGGGGAACAGAGCTGCTGGGGGCTGGCTAAAGGGCCAGACAGCACTGAGCTGCACTGCAGAAGTCGGCGAGGGCAAGGGTGGTATGTGGGTGTGGGTAGGGAGCGACTTGGCTGAACCATGTCAGCTAGAGCACTCCCCAGTGGCTACTCCTGAACACTGCTGCTGCCGTGGTCAGTAGGGTGGCACACTCTGCTGAGCATTTCCCCAGGAGAAGAGCCTAGACACACTGTAGGCACATCTGACTTAGTGCCAGGCTGAGCCCTCTAAGTGACCGCCCAAAGGCACAGCCAGGTGCTCCAGTGCCAAACTGGCTACCTGGCTCAGACTCCTCCGCCCAGCCCCACAACTCAAAAATTCCACCAAGGAGGGCTGAATGGCCCTGGAGGGATTCACCACCACCATTCAACATGAATGCCAGGATCCCAAGAGGAGTGGTAGGCAGGTAAGAGAGCAGTGTGGCTGTGATGGGAATGCAGGTGCCACTGGGGCAGGGCACAGCTGTGAATAGCAACAGCATCTCCCCCTGGAAGTACAGGTGATATCCAGCAGGTGCACCCCCGCATGCATCAATGACACAGCTGCATGCGTGTGCACACACACCCTTCACATCTGTACTGACATGTTTATATAGACAAGCACACACTCCACTCCTCCGAAGCCCCATGCGACAGCAGATTCCACAGGGGCCACCTGGTTCATCCTCTCAGGCATGGCATAAGGCCAAGTTGGATCCAGCCAGTCTTATGGGTGACTGTGGGGCCTGAGGCCTGGGCAGCGGTGCTGCCAGAAGAGAACAGAAGCTGGAGAGAACTCCTCTCACTGTCCCAAGGGGAAAACTCCTCTAGGGAGCCCAAAGAGGGCACAGACAGAGCTGGAGGCAAGCAAAGCCCAGTTTGCGCACCATGCTGGGAGCTGCACATCCAAACAGTGGCGCTGACTCCTGTCCGTGCTGCACGAGACAGAGAGCCTCCTGCTTCTCCATCTCATGCTCTCTGGGGCCCACAGCTCTGTCAGGGCCTAGCCAGCTCACTGCTCATGGAGGCAGCTGATGTCCTCTGGCCTTGCCTCTAAGGTCCCCAGGAGAAAGCTTGAGCCTAGAGCTTAGTGCAGGCTAGATGCACTGGTTGTGCCTGTCAGGGCCCCTGCACCAGGTTTGGTTCTGGGAATGCAGCCACAGCAGAGATATGAAACACAGGGGATGGCAACAGGGTCTTGTGCTGCACGCATTTCTTGTGAGGAGCTGGGCAAGGTGACTGCTTGAGGGGCCACAGCTGAGCTGGGGTTATGCTGGGTAGCCTGGCTCTAGGCTGGGCAGAGGTGGGGACGCGAACAGCCCTGATCTGCACCCAGCTGCAGACCTGATTAGAGCCCCTGACCACCCCTGCTCCCGAGGGGTCCTCAATTGGCAGGTTCCACAGCCAAGCTGCAGCTCACTGTCCCCTCAGCACCAAGCCCACAGTTTGGAGGCCACTGCTTCAGACACCACCTCCTCCCTCCTCAAGCTTCCCCCACCCTCTGCAGCAGACTGACTCCAAAGCCCCCTACACCAAAGCCTGTCATCTGATTGCCAGGGGCAGCCCCATGCTCCCTCTCTACTTGGGAGCCCCCAATATATGGCTCCATCCCTTTCAGTCAGCAGCAGTGTAGTAGATATGCCCACTGAGCCCCCATCACCCCCAGAGCAGGATCGTCTCCTCAGCTCTCAGGGACATGCTTCAGAGGACACCTCCACAGCTAGGGAGACTGCTGAGTGGGACTGACCCATGGACCTTCCCTTGCCCTGCCTGGTTTTAGCTTCCACCACACAACCCCCTCCCTGAACACAAAAACCCAAAGGGTGCTTCCATTGGAAATACAATACCTACCCCAAAATGGCATGCTGCTTCTGTGCTACCTCTCTCCTTGCTGGACTCCCTGTACCGCACACCCTGCACCGCCACCTCCCCTCCTCGCAATGGCCCACCTGCCAATCTGGGAGCAGGGGAGAATGGCAGAAATCAGCGCTGCTTGTTAAGTGTGATTGGAGCAAAAGTTAAAGGAAAGAAATCTCTAAACAGAGAAAGAGGCTGAATGGAGACATTTCATCTGCACTGTCACTGCGGCCACCTCTGAAATGCTTGTCATGGTGGTGGGGCACCCTGCAGAGAGGGCAATACCAATACCGCAGACCTCAGAGGAGCAAAAACAACCCCAACAAGGTAAGGGGGTGAGCAGAGAAGAGGGACTGGCCTGAGCAGCTGCAGGCAGAGGATGAAGGAGAGAACAGGGCAAACGCCCAAAGACAGCAATGTGCAGGAAAGGGCAAGGCACAGGAACAGGCCTCAGCACATACCATACAGCATGGGCCCTGTCAGGCTACAGTTCGGCAGCTGGTCTGGCACTGAACCCCACTGTCCCTGTCTTTGCAGCACTTAGCTCCCAAGCTAGCTGGAATAAGGCTGGTACAGGTTTGCCTGCAGCCCAGAAAGCTGGGACCTGTAGGGAACAGGTCTATGGTGGGGCTTCATGCTGTTCTGAGCAGAGCAAGGCCTGCTTGGCATCAGCTGGCTGGGAAGGCAGGACAGCTCTATTCCCACTTAATTTTCCTGCAGCATCCTCATAAGACCCACCATACAAACAGGAAGGGAAGCAACACAGGAGCTGAGCTTTCTGTGTGACCCTCAGCCTTGGGTGGATGCCGCACAGCTCAACTGCTGAATGTGCTGGACTTTCTCGCATCCTGACCTGCGTGGCTCCCACTCAGGAGATGAACTGGGTCCCCACATGTTTCTGGGCCCCTCTGGGGGTGGGGACAAAATGCTTTGAAGAACCACAGTCCCTGCGATGTGACGAGCCAGCTGCTGTGGCTGAAGAGTCTTCTTACTCACTGAAAACCCAGCCCTGGTGGTTTTGGAAACAGGAAAGCTTGACTCAAAAACTTCTCTGGAGTCAAATAGATGCCAGAGACCTCGCCAAGCACAGACTCCCCAGTCCAGATTCAGTACTGACAAACTCTCTGAAGCTCCCCAGCCTCAGCAAGGAAACAGCTGTCCTCCCGCAAAAGCTGCTCAAACCTTCCCAAGCCATTTGCTTCCAGGAAAACCACATGGCTGCAGAGTAGAAATGAGGACCCCAGCTGACCCAAAGTCGTGTGCATGCAGCGCGCCACTAAAAGCACAGCCTGTTTGGAGACACATTCATGTTAGCCTCCCCCTGTGCCCTGCTTGTGAAATACAAACAGCAAGGCAGCCTCCCAGACCATCATTTTCTCAGCGGCTTGAGGCCCATCCATTGGCTGTTCATAACAGGCTGAAAGGCCCTCCATCTGCCCCTCCCTTCAAACCAGCTGGGCCCCTACCTTTGCTCTCACAGACACTGGGCAAGATGCAACAAGCTCCAGTAACTAAAAGGCCGATTTCTCACAACCCACAAGCCCTGTAGGTTCCCTCTGCCATCCCATGGCTACTCTGGGTGAGTTAAAATGTTCCTTTCTCCAGGCAGGGGAGCAGAGAGACAGATTGCACACAGTAACCCTGAAACCCCAACACTGCTCACAGCTCTGGTTATGGTTCAAATGCCAGTGCCAACAGCAAATGGGGCAAGTTCTGAAAGACCCGGCTTACCTGGGACCAGCACACGGGAGTGCCAGTGACCCTGCCATGGCAGACACCCTGGCCTGGCATGACCAGAGAGCCACAGCCCTTTCTGTGGAAGAGTGCCAAGGCCTGGGGGACTGGAATGAGCAGAAATGTGGCATGTGGGTCCCTTCAGGGGCCTCTCACACACTTTGGAGATACCAAATACACAAAGCTACATGGTACTTCCTGTGCACTGTCACCCAAAGCAGCAGCACACGCTACAGAGCAGCCCACCACTCCGCTGACAGGCCTAAGAGCACCAAATCCAATAGCTACTGACCGGGAGCAAGCAAGGTTGGGGCCAGCTTCCAGACAGCAATGGTTGTGCTCTTCTCCATGCTATTGGAGAAACTATTGGCAGACCCTGCTATTCATCCCCTGGGTACCACCCAAGAGACTGCATGTTCCTATTGAATTAATGCTGCATTGTGTGGACCCAATGGTCCAAAAATGATGTCATTTGACCCAGTTTGACAAGCAACACAAGCCTGCAAGTCACACTCATGGTCGTCAAGTGGTGACCTAGAGCCTGGCAGCTCCCCCACGCTAGCCAACCATGTGCCATTGATGGGAATGCCAAGTTCTGGCAAAATCCCAGCAGCTCTACAGCCAGAAGCCCTCCTTCCCCCACCACCTATCCCTGGCATTTGTCAGAAGCCTATGTGAAACAGGGTGGGCCAGATTCTCCACTCACAGGAAAGCTGGGAGCCAGGAGAGCTAAGCAACACAGTGACCTCAGCTCAAGACTCTGCCCTTACCAGCCATCATCTTCTGTGCCTCATAGGGCTCCATGTAGCCATCATTCTCTGCCACCTTCTCCTGTGCTGCCTGGCCACCAGCCACTTGTGTAGCATCAAAGGGGTCTGCATAGTCTTCTAGCACAATCACCTGCAAAGAGGGAGAAGCCAGGAATGGTTAGAGCACGCCAGAGTCCGCCTTGGTCTGCACAGGATGAGGCTCTGTGAAGGGAGGTTGTGGTGAGCTGCCTATGGATGGGGCTGAGCCAAGCACTTGACATTGACAAACACTATCGTGGGCTTTGCTGAGGAGGCTGCTAAAATGCCCGAGAGCCACTTCCTGGCAGCAAGGCAGCCTCATGAGTCACCACACTGTAGGAAAACATGGAGCCCTGGCAGAGGGGGCTGCAGCTCACACCTGGGGGTGAAATATGCCCCCCAGTGAAGCCAAGGGCAAAGGGCCAAGCAGATTTAATCAGTGTGGAGGTATCCCCAAAAGCCCTGCTGCACCAGGACCCAGTCCTGTCATGGCTGTAGAGCTGGGTGGGCACAAGCAATAAGAGAACAGCTCTGAAAGCTGCCTTAGGGGCAAAGCAGGGACAGCCCCAAGGGAGCTGATGGATTGCTTTGTTTCCCCTGCCGGTGAGGTTTGGGGAACAGCTGGCATGGCTGCCAGGGAGTAAGGACCCACAGATAGGGAATGCCCTCAGAGCACCAGTTCATTTGTGGGCACCACAAGCCTGTTACCATGGAAATGGGCAAAACAGCCACCAGGGGCTGGTGTGAGTGATGCTGGACCAGGAAAGAGGCAGGCTGGTTTCATAGCCCCTGCACCAGGGTCACCTTGCAGCCTGGGCTGCATTCCCAGGCACCCAGCAAGGGGCCGGTGTTAGTAGGAAGGGTCCAGTCGCCATGCCCAGAAATTGGGCTACGGGCCAAGTGGATGGGGACAGCAGAAGGCGCTGCAGACTCTCATTAGTTTCAGCTCGTTGCTGACAGAAGTGTCAGCCCCCAGCAACTGCACGCCAGGCACAGAGTGAAACACCCTCAGCCCCGCACAATGCTGGCACCCTCACCCACTTGTGAAGGGCTAGCTGTATCCATACAGGTGCCACCCCCTACCATGCCAGGGCTGGGACTCCCAGGGGCTAGTGTGGCAGGCTCCCATGGATTAGCTAGATTGCTCATGCTGCGTCTGCCTGCCCCACTCTATATTTTGCCAACTATCTGCAGAGAATGAACTCCCATCCCAGGAATTAAGTGGTATTATCAGCTGTCTCCCTGCTCCCCAGGCTGTGCAAGGGGCCTGGGAGGAGAAGCATAGGGCTCCCACCGACACCTCCCCACCCAGCAACTGCTTTGCTGGAAGGCTCTGCTGGCCACCCAGAAATCTCAGCCGCCCACACAAACATAAGCACCATCTGTGCATGGGCACCTCCCAGCCCTACCCCCTGCTCCAGGCTTGCCTCCTGTGCAAAACCAACTGCTGGCCTGCCTCCCTGCGTGGTCCTTATGGGTGTCTAGCCATCAGCCAGACTCCTTCTAGCCAGACTCATCCTGCTACTTCCCTTCTCCCTCAGCATGGCCAGCAATGCCCCCCTGCCCAGATACAGGGTGCCCCCTTTTACAGTCCTCTCCCTCAGGCCTCACATGCAGGCTGTGCCTAAGCCTCACCAACCATTGCTGCATCACAGCTTGAAGACCCACTGTTCCTGTCCCTCTGCACGGCTGGGCTCTGGCCAGGCTCCCATCCTTGCAGACAACTCCTACAACACCCTTCTCTCTGGCCCTGACCGACACCACCTTACCCTGCTCACCTCCCACCAAGGCGCAGGGGCTGTGGAGCCAGCCTGCCTCCTGTGGATATTCTTTCTTTAGCCTGTTGCTTGGCACCCCCTCTTCCCCTGGCATCACACCCAAGCTGCATGTCTTTGTTCTGAGGGTCTCTCATGGCTTGGCCCTGCCCTGTGCTCCCAAGACAGTCTCCTGCCTCCAATCGGCACCTGCCAGCCTCTGCTACCCCTCAGTGTGGTTTCAAACAAGCACCCTCCTGCTTTCTCCTGTGGTTTTACAAGGGGGAGCTCCCCCCTCACAGTCCCACACTGCCACTTTAGTTGAATCCCCCAAAACACCTTACTTGGCAAAACAATAGTTTGATGCTGGGGGCAGTGAGCCTATTTACTGCCCATTCTGCTGACTGATCCTGTTTCATGGTTTCCTTCCACATAGTCATCCTTACCTCCAGTCTTATACCTAGGTTGTAAGCTCTCTGGGGCAGGGGTGGTCTGTCTTGGGTTTATACAGCATGCAGCCAGGGTCAGGCTGGGCTGACTCATGACTGCAAGCTGCCACTGAGGTGCAGGGGCAGGAGGGAGGCCGAGGGGTGAGGACAGCAGCGCTAGCCACCTGGAGCACAAAGGTCCTTTGTGACAGGCCCAGGGGTACATGGCTCTGGGGGGGTTACAAGCAAGACAACTCCCCTTTCCAGCCAGCTCAGGCACTGAACACAGACACTGAGGCAGCCAAGTATTTTTGGGGTGAAGCTTGTTGCAGCTCTTCTCAAAAACTGCCATGCTCCTGAACAGACAGCACAGACATGGCTCTGCTTGGATGTACAGCCCAGCCAGGGTCTGGGGTATCTCCTGCCTGAACAAGGGTTGGAGATGGGCAGCTAAGTCCATGGCACAACCCCCCCCGTCTCCCTCCAGGCCTTGCTGGGGTCACAGCTCCCCCTGGGCAGAGACCTGGCTGCCAAGCCCTGCACAGGGAGATATGGGTGCCCGAGTTCAATGAGGTCACAGCGCCTGCCTCTGTTGTCTTCCAAAGCATTCAGCATCATGTCAGCACCTCTGAGGTGCCACCCGGCCTAGCAGTGCCCAGGCGCAGCAAGCCATGGTCGTTTATAAACACCTCCCATTTGCTCCCTGCGTGTACCGTCCTCCCCACACCAGTCCCCAGCTACTTCCTCTGCAGGGCCTACCTCTTCTCCATGCTGTTATGAACATCAGGGAATAAGGATCCCACCACCACCCCTTCTACCTCCTATACACCTTTCCCAGTATGTCCCTCCCACTGACTACATCCCTCCTCTTAGGAAGATCCCAGGACAGCGACTCCCTTCAATGCACAGATGTGTGCCAGACCTAACAGTCACAGGTAACATCCTCCCCTTCACCACAGTGTTACCATTGTGTTGCCCCATGCAACCACTCTAGACCTGCAGTGTGCAAGATACTTCCTGCTGTACATTGCAACCAGCCTAGTCTTGCAGTATGCACTACATATCAGGCTGCAGACTCCCTACCTAGCCACCCCAGTGCTCACTGCATCTCCAGCTGTGCACACACAGTACAATCAGCTTGGCCTTGCAGTCCACACTGCACCTCCAGCTGCGCCTACCCTGCACAGCCACCCCAATGCACACTGATCTGCACTGCACACCATTTTTGTTCCAGTGTTTTTGTCCCCCCCCCAGGCACCGGGTGCATTTAGAGGATGTTTGCCAGAACCCCTGGAATGCAGCAGGCCTGGGCCATTCACAAACAAATCCACGTGCCTGGTGTCAGCCACTTAAACCCAACCCTTTTCTTCCTTCCTGTGCTACGAATGGCATGACAATAGCCCCAGAGTCTTGAAACACAGCAGGAAAGTGAACAGGAAGTAGAAGCCATAAACACCTCCCACGCTGGCTTTCCTGAGCACATGCCTCGCTTAGGGGCTCACAAAGGAGCCGGTTCCTCAGGCCCCGGCTCCCTCAGGGCCTGGACAGCCCCTGAAAGCTTGGGCAGCTTGAAAGCGTCTAACCTGAACACAGGAGGCACGATGCCAGCAAAACCACCCACTCCAAGGGCGAGATGGGAACGTGCTGCCTCTCAGGGATGGGTATGTGCATCAGTCTACACCCATGTGTACACACATGCCTGTGCAATGTGTTCCTAAGGATGCCTGTGCGCGCCAGCTACTTGTACCAGTGTATGCCCACATGCATATTTCTGGGTGCCTGTTTAATGTCAGCAACATGAGAGAACATAACAAAGAGGAGACCAGCAATTCACTACATCATTGTTAGAAAGCTGAAATTTTTCCAAGGTTTTCCCTGTAGAATGGTTCTGAAGCACTCTACAGAAGGCACTCACAGCTAGCCTTGTTGAAATGCAACCCCCCTCACGCACACACACACGCATGCACGCACGCCAATACAGAAGGGATCCTGTCTGAGGAAAGGATCTCATCTACTTTCTGCAGTGCCCCTAAACCCTGAGGGGAAGGCAAGGGAGAGGACTCTCAGGTATAGGGCAGCACCAGACAGACCTGTGGAGGGACTTCCTGCACCTCGGCTGCATCTCCCCAGGAACAGGCAGCCTCTGGCTTGCATCAGGAGACAGGAAATCTGCTGGGATTGTTCTCTGGCTGCTCAGAAACATCCTAGAATGGGGCATTTGCCCTCCAGTGCCTTCTCAGACACCTTCTCGCCTTTGTTTACAGACCTTTCCTAAGCATTGGACTCCTAGCAGGGAATCCAACCCCAAAAGTAATGCAAAGCAGAGCCCAGAGGGCTGCAACGTGCAGCTCAAAGCAATGTGGAGGAAGCCTGCTGGCCAGTGGGCCACTAAGAAAACTGGGAGAAGCCCTTTAAGCTAGAAGCAATGTCTGCCCTCTGCAAGGCCCATCTGCAGCCCTTCCCCCTATAGCGGCTTCGGCACAGAGAGGGGAAGCCAGAAATGGAGCCAGTTCCTTTACACACACCTGAGAAAGTGCAATGCTCAGCTGTAAATTACCCAGAACAAAGACTGAATGAGGCACTGGTGACCTCAGCTGGACAGCCTGAGGAAGGATGCAGGTGAGTGGGTGCAAAAGCCCTGCAACACCCAAGGCAGGGTGGTGCAAACATCCCTCAAGGACACCTGATCTCTTGCCTTAGAGATTAGCTGAACCAATCTGTCCCTGGAGGAGAAGACATGGGGCTAGTGTCCCAAGCCTGCTCCCTGCAGCACCATTCTGCCTCTGCCCTGGTGCCTGACCAGCCCCTGGGCCGGAGCCTCTATGTTCCTAGGAACTGGCAATGGCAAGGGATCTGTTTGCTGTGTAAACAAACAATCCTGTTCACTTATGGCCCCTAGTTCAGTCAGGCCCAAGCCCTGACATGCTAAC